CAAATGTTGCATGTGAGTTAGATAATTGAAAATATATGACTTTTTTTCTTTTTCTTTTTCCTATTCATATTTTTCTTTTTAGCATTTCTAGCTGAGATGGATTTGAATAATACTACTACAATTCGACCACCATCAAGAACACCTAAAAGTGGAAGAAAATAATTTACTTTTGAAACTTATTCTTAACAATAAATGCAAACGATGTGTTAGCATTTTTTATTCGAAAAATATTTTTTTATTTACTAATGAATAAATATATTAAAATATCAAAACTACTATTATTTATTTTTTCCCCTTCATCAAGTGCAACAAAAAAAAGATGATGAATACAAGAGCAGATAAAGTGAACGGAATGTTTTTGTAAATACAGCAAAGGTCAAATATACATTAGCTTTTATCTTAATATTAAGTGATGTTTGTCGACATAGTAGAACAGCATACATTCATTTACCTACAAAAACAGTAGATATATCTGAGAAAGACGACAGCTGTTTGCCTTATGGTTCCAAACATGAAAAACTTTGTCGAAACATTCTCTATCTTAACAATCTGTAATGCTTGTCTTCCATTAATCATATTGTATTAACATGTTTTTACACCATTCATTGTCAATATCAAGATGTTCTCTTGAGAATGATGATGGAATATTCCTTTTTCTTTTTCTTTTTTTTTATTCTTTTCTTCATCATAATAATGTATACATGAATGATATTTCTACCATTCAATTACTAATGAAATACATGCTTTCTAGAAATAAAAATGACAGTAATTATTTTTTTTTTCTTATCGATTGAGATATAATTTGGTTTTTCAAGCCTCAAGAATAGAGCGTATGAATGATGGTTTGAGATCAATATTAATACGAAAATCTGTAGTAAATTATCCGAACTAATGGACATTATTTATTTCTTGATCACCTATGAAATATTGACTTTAATTACAATCTATACATTATCATCAACTATCTTCTTATAACCTAGAGCGAAAAATAATGACTAATTTATTATTAATAATAATTAATATGAATATCAATCTATATGATAAACGAAAAGGTAAGTTCAATAAGTGTATTTACCAATCAAGTTGCTTTCTTGTAAGTTGACATCTTTTTTTTTTCAAATTTTTTTTGTGAATCTTTCTTATGTAAAGTAATTCATGCTTCTATATTATTTTCATAATGTCATAGCATACATAGCAATCAACGATGAAAACATGTTATTATTATTAACATTAATGCAGTGAAAAGTTGTAAATCAATGAGCGACTTTTCTTTAAGATCAACATGAAATATAATAAGATACTAAAAAAACAGTAAATAATATAAGTATGGTAGTGTTAAGAAAGATTTTAGCGTTCTAATGCCGAACATGTATACGAATATAGATATAAAGAGGAAGTAGGTTGTGTCAAGAGATTGGAAAAATAATGGAAAAAAAAATTTCATCGTCATCAAAATTGATAAGTGCTGAAGGCAAACTCTCTTGTTCTTTCTAGTCTTCTTCATATTTTTCTTCATCTTCATCTCCTTCTCCCTCTCTCTCTCTCCCTCTCCCTACTTCTCTTTTTTTCTTTTTCCTTTCTTTTTATCTTGTTCGCAATTAAGGATGAACTAAAAAAAACAACTGAAACTTCATCATCTCTTCAGATAAGTATTTTACAAAAATGTATGAAACTGAATTTTTATTAAATAAAAATTTATCAATGACAAATCTAACATCACCTGAATCTTTACTTCCTGATATGGAATCAAATTCATCTTTACCTCGATGGTTACTTGTTCCATTTATGATTATATCGATTATTGAAAGTATACTTGGTATTGTTGGAAATAGTCTTGTTATTATTGTTATATCATGTGTTGGAAAATCAAATATTTTACATATACCATATAATAGTTTTATTGTTAATTTAGCATTAAGTGATTTAGTTTTATGTTTATTTACAATGCCTTTAAATACTTATCGAAGTTTAAATATATATATGACATTTCCACCTGCATTTTGTAAATTAGCTGATAGTTTTCCAGCAATAAATGTTTGTGTGTCATCTTTAACTATTGTTGCAATATCAATTCATCGTTATTTAGTTGTTTGTTATCCACATAAAAAATTAATTGGATCATTTCTAACATTTCTTATTATGATTAGTATTTGGTTATTAGCTATTGGTGCAGCTAGTCCACTTTTTATATATTCATTATCATCACAAGTTTATGATGATGGTTTTATTGGAATTATAGCCAATTATTTATGTACAAATTCAATGAATGATTCATGTAAAGAAAATCAATATAAAATATATCAACGTTTTCATGTTTGTCATGAATCATGGCCGAAATATGGAAATTGGCGTCTTGTATATACGATATTTATGTTTTTTCTTCAATTTATTCTTCCTATTTCGATTATTTGTATAACATATTATCAAATTATGGTTAAATTAAGAGAACGTATGTAGAGAAAGAAAGATCTCATTTCATTTCTAGATTATTTACATCCTTAACTGTTAATTAAAGTTCAAATATTGTATACTATATCTTGAGACAATTTCTTATTAACAGATAAATAAATATTGTTAAAATAATAAGTCTAGAGGTAAAAAAAATCATATGCACTGAAGAACCTTGTGTAAATATAGGATAGGATTTATTCAGATGTTAATAATGAGTCAATCAAACTTTTACGGAATATTTTCTCTTGTTAAAATAGTTATGTTAATAAGTATTTTAATAATAGAAACTAACATGTATATAAAATAACCTTTTAATTAAAATCATATTTTTATTATAAAAATTTTTACAGTGAAAACTCTTTTATCTTTATCATATTATTTAATATAAAATAATATATTTTTCAGGTTTTCGATATCGATTTTTAATAAAACGTCACAATATTGCTTCATTACGTATTGAAGTTCGACGTCAACGACGAAATAATGTTCTTCTATTACTTATTGTATCATCATATGCAATTAGTTGGTTACCATTTAATATATCTTATACTATATTTACGCATGTTAATAAATATGAACATAAATCAGGTAATTAAATTTCATTCATTTATTAACAATATAATTAAAAATATTCTTTAGACAATAATCATACACCTTCTCGTGAACAAGTTAATGATTTATCAAAATATCTTCCATTACGTTTTCTCATATGTATGATATCAGCAATAGCAAATCCATTTTTATATGGTTATTATAATGAAACATTTAAAGATGGGTTAGAAAAAATCTTTTCTATATGTTGTCCACATTTAAATCGAGATATTAATAAAATATATTATGATCAATCTGGTGTTCCATCATTACAAGTAACACTTAACAAAAATTCAAATAAGGATTCATTATCAAAAGCAAATTATTATCAATCATCATCACAAGAATGTTCAAATAATAATGTTTCAATTCGTTCATCAACTCGATTAACTATAACAAATACAAATCGTTTATCAACTTGTTTATTATCAACTAATTAAATTTTGTTACGTAAATAAAATTTATTCAGAAATATTCCATATAGAAATCGTAATAAACTACAAGAAAAAGAATTAATTGTGACACTTGAGACATTCATTATTCATTACATTTGTTTATAGTTCCACAAAGAGCATTATTAATAATATAAATGCCAAATGTATTATATATAAAAACAGAATATCGTATTAATCAGATAAATATCATTGAAAAAGTAAATTTAATCTTTTCATATTGTCTGTAAACAGAAAAATACATTGGATATCGATAATTAGAGATAGTTCGATGTCTTAGAGAGTATATATATATGCAATACTACTTGTGTGATCAATCTTCATTTTCTGCTTTATATTAATCCATCATATTGCATTATTCTGATTCTTTCTTCTGCATTGCACATGAGCGTGGGTTGAATAAAAAAAGACAAGGATAAAGAAAGGTCAGTTATCTTTTTTTGAGAAAAACACTGGTACAAAATTCATGGTTCATTGTTTTGAGTTATCAAATTAGTGAATAGTATGATAACCTATTGTTCGAAGTTCGATTGTGAACTTCTAAAACAATCACCTAACAACAAATACAAATACTTGAGATAGTTATTGTACTTATATATATATAGCAAACTGATTTTCGAAAGGTTGCACTGCGACCTTGTTTTAGTGAACTTGAGTGAAAAAAAAATGAAATCACTTAACCGTTGAAGGTTTATTTCAACAATTTCTTTTTTAACAAAAAAGAAATTATCCTATTCTGGAAGAAGTAAGAAATATGATTAGTTTTTTTACTTTGTTTTAAATTATTCTTTAATAATCTATTATTAACAATTATACATAATCAGCTATTTTCATTGCATCATTCTACGAAAAATATGAACAGAATAAGAAGTAAATGGATATGTGTACAGAATGGAAATAAAATAGAAGATTTTGTTGTATGTATTAATGTTATTGATCGTTTATAATTACAATTGAAGAAATTTAAACAATTTTTTTTGAAGGACAAGTGTTAAATAAATACGAAAGAAGTGCGGTTGACAATATACTTTGTTTATCTTGTCTATCACTACTTTACACATATAGTTATTATTTTCTTTTGCCACATTCATATTAAATCAATGTCCCTTAAAAATTTGAATAGTTTAAATTCAAAAGAAAGAACAAGGTCGGTTAAGATCATATTCTTGTCTATCAAATATTTTCAAAAATTCTCCATCTACTTATACACCTTCAACATCTACTTGTGACATTCGTATGAAGAATTACTAGTAAAAGTTTGCATTGATTTAATATGCTCGTATATAAATCCATGTTGGAAACGAAAAATTCAAGGTTAAAATTGAAATACACCTAGATATTTCATTAACTTTCTATGTCATCACAACGCAAAAAATAAAAATCTTTAAAATTTTTTATTTATGAATAAGAAATTGAATTTTGCCGTTAATATTGTTGGATCAACAAACATAACACAACAAGACAATAAGTGTGTTTTCATGCTATACATATTTTTTTCTCTCTCTCTCCTTGATTTTAAAGTTAAAAATAAAGATTAATACATATAAACAATTTTACAAGGTCAAATTGTATTAAATCTAATCATAATCATATTTCAATTGGCACGTGTTAACTATTATATCAAGAATTCATGTCTTTAGACATTGCAAATAAAAAGAAACCTAACAATTGAATATCTTCAAAATTTAGTCTTTTTTTTTCTTCTTTGTCATTCATGGCCTATTCGTAAAAAAAAAGGAATTCAGTATCAAGTATGTTTGCAATAGGTAAACATTTTCAAGAATTTATTTTTGTTGTTCACTTTTTCTCAATAAATTTTTTATAAAAACAAGTCTGAATCAATTTCAATTTTGTGCATCAACATTTTATATAAACTAACGCAACTATTAAAACTGCATTCTCTTTTATTTTTTTAGCCTCATTTTACCATCATTTCTAACTGCGATTAATAATAACAACAGCATGTGCGCGTAGTTTCAAAAATAAAACAAAACAAAAAAGAAAGAGTAGGAAGAATTTCATGTACATGTTATTTTAAAAATATTGGTTAAAAAGAGGGAGAGAGAGCGAGAAAGAAGCAGATTAATAAAACGAATCAAAGCCGACAGAAGGCAAAAAAATATAATACTTATAAAATACCACAACATCACTAAGCAGCAATATTGTTTTGAAAAACTTCTTCTTTTATGGTAAGGTTAGATGCAATCTAGGGACAAGAAAAATAAAATTCATGTTTTTTACCAACTTTGGAATTACCTAGAAAATGTTAATCATTTAATAATATTAGTAAAAAAAGAACAAGAGACCTTAGAATTTTTATTTCTATTCAAAGTGAAAAAAAAATATATTTAATATGTAAGTAAATTCTAGATACATTCATTTTCCTCTATATAAAAATATGTTAATTTTTTGTTTTGAAATAGAAATTTTCGAGATATTTTTTTGAAAAAATTCGAAATGATTATTATCTTCCTTTTTCGTTTTTTTTGTATTTCGAGGTTCTAATGGATTTCTTTTGATAAAAAATAAAACGTTTTTTTGTTGATCAAAATCCAAAAAAATGTTTCTTGTTTATTTTTCTATCCATTAAGAATAATGCAATTTAAATTCTGAACAGAAACATTCACCTTCTTTTTTCTTCTTCTTCTTCTTCTCTCTTTAAAAGTGTATCGCATTTCGTTCTTTTTTGTCTTGAAGCAATAAAGAAGGAATGATCGTCAGGCGCAATAAATAAAATACGCTATTCATTCTTTGTTCAAATACCTCTATACGTTTTGTATGAAACAAGTCAGTTACTTTGATTCATTTTTTTTCTTCTCTTTACTATAAGAAACTCAAATATATAACAATTAAATAAATTAATTAATTTAGATTGATAATAGAAACAACAAGTTAAGCGGTTACAATGCAACAACTAAGTACTCTTGATACAACAAGACCACTTGATTTTGATAATTTAAATTTAATTATTCGTCCACGAGCACCACGACGACGTCAAAGTGGAGCATCAATAATACCATTTCGACCTTATGTCAAACGTTTAACTAGTGTACGTCTACCACATTCATATGCAAATGGACGTGATAATTGGGTCGAATCAGGACGACGAGAAGCATATTTTGAACAAAAAAATGCAAGATGTATTGGTTCATTATTTGATGATTGTGGAACATCAGAAGTTATTAGATGGGATATAGAAGGAGAATCAACTCGCTTACCTATGATGTGTAAATTCTGGATGATTGGTAAAATAATTTTTTTTTGATTTTTACAAAAAAAAATGAAAACATGATTTACTTGTTTTTTTTTAGTTGATGGTGCTGTTGTTGAACGAGGAAAACCACGTATGGTTCAGGATGCAGCTGTTCAAGTATACGTAGCAGGTCATAGTCTTCGTTCAATAATAGCAGCTCAAAATCAACAACTAAATCGAACAGTTGTAACAAGATATGATCGACGTCGTCGTCATTCTTGGCATGATGTTAATGAATATCATAGTGTACCATATTTTCAGTATACCAGTTCAATACACTGCGGAAGTTCCATAGCTATTCAATGTAATGAACGATCTGAACATTTCATGAGTACGGAAGAATATCTTCCTTTTATTGAAGAAGAAACAGCCGACGAACATTATTTAATGAAAACCGAAAAACATAATGCTCAAGAAATAATACATCATTACGAATTACCACAATATCGAGCTCAAATTAATATCACAACAGAAACAGAGTATGATCTTATTCTTCATTTTTTTTT